GGATTGAAACGACTACCGATTTTTGATTTTAAAATAGCAACCCATATTAAAAAATCCATAAATAGATGACGTTTTAGTTTAAATACATTTTGATGTTGATTTTTTAATTTCTATCAAATTAGTTAGCTAATTCACTATCAAAAATAGGGGTAACAAAACTGTGTAATATTTTAGAATATATAATTACAAAAAGTTTTTATACAAGTAATTTATTTAAGAAAAAAGTATTTTATAAAAAGGATGCATAGACAATTTTATAATTTTTTTAATTGATTTTAAATTTATGTTTTGAAGTATTTCAGGGTAACCTAGCAAATTATTTATAAATTTATATACAAATTTTAGTTTTATTTGAAGAAAACGATTTTCAACCTCGACACGTTATTATAAATGTTTGACTCTATTTCGAAGTCTGAATGTGGAGTTCTAAAGACAAAGTATTGAAAACATAAGAGATGAATAAAATTATTTTTGAATTTTCTCTAAACTTTGTGTGTGAGTTTTTAAATATGGATGCCAGATAAAGAGTGCATAAACAAAATGAGAACGGTAAACATACTGATATAGTCATATAGAGTTCTTAATGCAAATTGATCCCTCAAGTGTGCACATGTGCGTTTTAAAAAATCTAATTTCGTAAACGCTTTGTTTCTAATGAAATGTATATGGTCATTAAACATTTAAAAGGGATTTTTACATTGAACTATACTCCAAGGTCATTAAATGCAGATAATTTTGATAAATTAATATTTGCCAAAAAATAATTGAACTGTTTTGATGTTATTTTCAAAGAAAAGGTAATTGTGAAACATTTTTTTAAGTTTAAATACAAATAGCATTATATTAGCTGATTGACGAGATATTCCACTTTTAAATTTAGGTTGGATGAGAATAGTGATGCATTATTAACACGTCACCCGTTGTACTGCCACACAAATGGTACTCCACTTCTCTTCTCTAACCTAAAGTTAAAAGTGGAATATCTTGTCAACTGTCAACGGCTCAGAAATCAAAAATGTCAACACTACAATTTATTTTAACCAATACTCCACTTTAACTGTACCTACTCAAATGGATCACCTGGTATTTAACCTTTTTTAGGTGTGTGTACACATTTATTTACCAATACACCACTGTGAATATCGATTTATGTAGAAAATGTTAACGGGTCAACATTATTTATCAATTACCACTAAATATCAGTTATCACTTACCTATCAGATATTACTATAATAAAAAAATTAGATATACGAAAAATAATATTCGTTTCTTCGTTTGTTCGTATTTTATGCACTGCCATCCAATTGTGTTGGAACTTTTTGCTAAATGTTTCGCGTTATCCGGTGAAGGTTTATAATTATTGAAATCCATCCCCTTTTGAATACTTAAAATCTCTTAAAATTCAGTTTTCAGGTATTTTTGGTACATAAATTGAGTTATTTGTACTGATTTATAATTGGTTACTTCGGTAACAAGGATGAAAAAATAAACTTATTAATTAAATTTAAAATTATAAACTTATTAATTATTGTAGTGCAATTTCTATGCTGTGAGGGATCATCTATGGTAATAAGTGGAATGCCCAAAACGTCATCGACGTATCTTTGAATCTATGTATTTTTGTAGTGATTTTTATTTCAGTAAATTATTTAATTCTATTGTGTTATTTATTCAACGTGCACAAAATTTTGGCTACAGTAAACAGCAAATGTTATTTGAAATTCATCTAACGCAAACCAAATGCCTCCAAAACATTCGTCACTTAGTAGATCTACTAGCGCTATTAGATCTATTCAGCACTCAAATTGCCTTTGGATATGCATTTCTGTGAAGCTCCAAAATGTAAAATTTCAAAAGGATACCGTTAGCATGGCTAAAGTTCTATAAATTTGCAAGCTTATTGTCTGGGACGAATGCACAATGCACTATTACTAAAACAAAATCGCTTGAAGCGCTAGATTGAATAATGAAAGATTTCAATCAAAATCACATCAAATGCACAACCATTTGATGACGCTCTCATTTTATTATCTGGCGACTTTCGACAACTCTCTCAGTGATATCTAAATCATAAGCTGAAGAGCTATCAATGTTTGCCTTAAAGCATCACATTTTTGGACACACATTAAGGATCAATATGTGCGTACATTTGCAGTACAATTTTTAAGTAATTTACAGGTATTTAAAATTGTCGACATTTGTTTAAAATTTATGCTTGGTTTTATGTTGATATAATTATTTGGCCGAGCGGAAAAACTTAAAAAATGTACACAAGACTCATCATAAGTAGTATGTATAAGTACCAAAAAAAAAAGTTAAGCGATATGGAGTAGCTTTCTTTTATAAGATCGTTTAAATTCAAATTTCACTAGAAATCGTAAAAACCACGGAATTTTGAGTACTATTTATTTTAATACAACTATAATAATAATGTGAGGACTATATTATATTAATTTAGAATATTAATATATTATTCTTCAATATTATATAATTTTTCTAAAATAATTTAAACAAAATTTAAGGTCATTTTTTGATTTCCCAGAGGTTTTCATAATAAATAGGAAAGAACGTAGGAAAAACGGGAAAATTTTACGAAATGTATTACTTTCAAACTGTAAATATTACGGCCTTTCAAAACATATAAAACCAAACTCCACAGAGAATCGTTTTTCGTTAGTAATGATTAATTAAATAAATTCCATTTTTTACTTTATTATTTTATTAATGGTTAATCGTTACGCTCAGAAATATACATTCAATTTCCTCTCTACCTTCCCAAATTCTCACCTTCAACAGTGGCCCACCCATCATGCGAAGTATTTTGTGTTTAAACAACTTTTTTACTACTACCAGACATTTTTTCTTGATGTATAAATTGTACTAATTTTTTTGAAAGGAAATTTTATCTTGTTGGTGAATTAAAAAGGTTATTTTTTGATTTTTCAATAGGTTTTCAAAATAATTTGGAAAAACGGAAAACAAAATTATAGGTGTAACAGCAATTTCATTTTTTACAATTTTTACAAACTATGTTTTCTATCAGAAATATTCCTAAATTTAGCAGTTAGCAGACTGGTCAGACATTAGACTTTACTGTTTCTAAACATAGCTGCTGACCAATCTGTTGGGGAGGAAGGGATCAATAGAATTGCTTTATCAGCAATCCGATATTTTGCGGAAGGAAGTGTTTAATTAGATTGATGCGGTAAATACTTTACGTGCCAAAATTAAAACTAAATAATATAATTTGTTTATTAAAATTATCCAGATTCCAAAAAAAAAAAAAAAGAAACTGTTTAAAACGCAAAGGAATAGGGATACTATTGATGCTCATAATTCTTAAGTTCAAAATAATTAAAAACAATAAGAATAAAACATTAATACCTATGGATAACCTATGGATAACCTTAAATTTTGGTGTATTTTCATGTTCCAACTTAATAACAAGAAAGTGTTCTTAAACTCTATTAATCTCCTGGATTAGCAGATTGATTTAGAAATATACGGATTGTTCCAATAAAAAGAACGACAAGAGATATTGGTAAATAACAAAGTTTTTTGATATTAACTGTAGTTTTTTTAACAATTGAGAAAAACTAAAAAAAAAACCTAAAAAGAACGGGATATTTTATGAAAATAATCATTTAAGTATTTTTAATTTTGTTTTATTGTTGTAATTCAGTTAAAAATATTTCTAGAGACTTGAAATTTTGATACATTACTGATATTTGCATTTTATAGACGTGGGTAAATTTTAAAAACTTGTTTTGCGATTTTTTAGTTATTTATAGGCATTTTATGTTTGCGAGTTTTTACATAATTTTTATTTTGTAGGTAGTATGTGGATATAATATTGTTTTACTAAACAGAAATTAAGCTGTACAAATTAAATAAATGTATGTATTCTACCTTCCTCACTTTCCACTTTTCACCCACAACTGGCCATCGTCAATATTAGTTTAGTGTTTTTTTTTATGATTTAACAGACAGCAGTGAAGGATTTGTTTTTACAATACTTTTCTACTTCTACGATGAAAATAATGTAATCTTCATAATATTTTCTTAAGACGATATTAACTATAGTCGTTATAACCTCAGTATA